CTTTGGACCACTGAGCAACAGACCAGGTCTGTTTTTCTTTAGCCCAGGTAAGACGCTTCTGACGTTGTTTGTTGTTCAGGAGTGGCTTGACAAGAGGAATACGACATTTGAAGCCCATGTCCAGGATCCGTCTGTGTGTGGTGGCTCTTGATGCACTGACTCCAGCATCAGTCCACTCCTTGTGAAAGTCCCCAACACTTTTGAATGGCCTTTTCCTGACAATCCTCTCCAGGCTGCGGTCATCCCTGCTTCTTGTGCACCTTTTTCTTCCACACTTTTCCCTTCCACATAACTTTCAATTAATGTGCTTTGATACAGCACTTTGGGAACATCCAACTTCTTTTGCAATGACCTTTTGAGGCTTTCCCTCCTTATGGAGGGTGTCAATGATGGTTTTCTGCACAACTGTCAGGTCAGCAGTCTTTCCCATGATTGCGATTCCTACTGAACCAGACTGAGGGACCATTTAAAGGCTCAGGAACACATAGCAGGCTTCACAATATTCTAATTTTCTGAGATTGTGGATTTGGGGTTGTCATGAGCTATAAGCCATAATCATCACAATTATGACAAATCACGGCTTGAATTATCTTGCTTTGCATGTAATGAGTCTATCTCATATATTAGTTTCACCTTTTAAGTTGCATTAGTGAAATAAATGAACTTTTGCACGATATTCTAATTATCCGAGTTTCACCTGTATAATAGTAAAGGGAGTAGGTTAATTTAAAGCTGAACCCACGACAAAAAAAAAAAAAATCTACATATACTCCTCAAGAGCCACAAAAGGACCTAAACCCACTTTGTGTATACCAAATGCCTTAGCAAGCTCAGTTATTACCTTGTAAATGTAGCAGCAACATCATCACTGCTTTGTACACAGCCTGTGCAGAGAGCAAAGCTGTCGGAGAGGCCCAGCAAGCAAGCCCCACCCACCACAGGCTGCATGCAGAAAACTAGAGAAGGAACAGATACAAGACCAGTCACCCTGCACAAGGAGAGAGAGCAGCAGTGACCAGTCTTTATTACAAGAAGCTCCTGCACAGGAGGAAAAAAGTTTCACACTGGATTACCACTGATGTGCACAAAATACACATTCAAGTGAAAATAAACACACCTCTTTTATTTAGACAAAGGTTGCTTATTCTGCTTATCCTGGAGTGCAAATACGAATTTTAGGTGTGAATAGTGTGAAGTATTAGAATCAACTTAAACAGAATTACAGATTAGAATTTACTTCTAATGTTATTACTATTTGCTTGTTCTTTGCAACACTGCCCAATGCTGATGGCGTGAAAGGGCCCTAAATGCAATTACAAACAGTACCTCACCATGTCATAATATGCCTCTGTGGTTTCCTGCAAAACAGAAGTTTGACTAGGGTGGAATTTTAAGCCAACTTTACAACACTGCACCAATCCCAGCCTGTGGGCCTTGATCAAACTGCTTGGTTTTAACTAATGTAGAGGAAGGTAACATCAGAACCTGGCTGTCCTCCCTGACAGGAGGGTCCGGATTGCAGAAAAAACAAACAGAATGAACCCCTTTTTTTTTACAACCAAGAAAATTCACCATTATGCATTTAAGGATAATACGTTATCTATTTGCCTACAGGATTGCTATAAGAGGTTTTTATTTGTGTAACTTGATTATAATGTGGACTGCCGAGGTACCACTTACCTGACAGGGTGCTCAAACATTTACATCATTTGATCCAATTCACTCATTTCAACAAATTAATATCTGTACATTACATTAAAATGTGCAAAGAGAGATTAAAGTTAAACATATTTCATCCACAACATGGACATTGTACCTATAAACGATACTTACCATCAGATTTGTCTAGCTCTATTCGGCATGTTAGCCATAGCTGCTGGTTATATGTAGACAGGATAGGGGATTCCAGAGGATAATGGGTAACCTTGAAATAATTTGAGGAATACAGACAATTTAGATCATTCAACTGAAACAAAATGTAGCCACAAACCAGAGCAAATATATACAGCATAGGCAATCAAAATAGATATATCGTGAGCAGGAAACTATAGATGTCTAGAGCAGGGGTAGACAACCATGGCACTGCAGCAGTGGTGAAACTACAAATCCCATGAGACATTGCAACACTGACAGCCACAGACATGACTCCCAGAGGCAGAAACATGATGGAATTTGCAGCTGGAGTGCCTGGTCTAGGGGAACTCTGGCATATCTGACATCATTTCTCATCAAATCTTGGGCATTTAAGAGGCTCAGTTGCTTAAACAAAAATGTTCACACAAGGATTACCTGCAAAAAATAAAGTAAATACCTCTACTACTGCCTCCATCGCCAAATGTTGCTGCAATGAGGAGAATCCCCTGAAGTCTGTGCAGAATCAAACACTTCTGTTAATCTTCTGTACCCTCCCCGCTGTGTTCAGTGGTTTCTCCAACCAACCCCTATGGCACTATAAGACACACTTCAGGGGACAAATTCTTCTCATTGGAGTGGCATTTAGTGGCACTCCACTGGCAAGGGCAGATGCAATTATTACCCTCATCTTTGCAGGCAACTTTTGTACTGGCAGTTAAGCTGGGAATGGAGGGAGTCAAGTGAACCTGTTACTTTGTACCCTATCAAGACAAAATTCAGTTGAAAAGTAAAATTACATTAATAAAGGAATACACAACTGTTTTAAATTGTGATTTTCTTTTACTCAGAATGAAATTGGTCTTTAATGAAAAATCATTAAAAAGGAAGTCAGTGAGCAGCATCCAGGGATATGTTCCAAGTTATTTGCTGGTCAGTGCTTACAGAGGGGAGAGCCTTTAATGTCTTTAGAATGCTATAAAGGAGCGGTTTTATTTCTAGGTGTCTTGGCAGACCAAAATAAACTTAAATAATTTGCCATGACATTACGGATAAGGTTTGAAATAAAATAAGATTTTTGGTTGAATAATGTACTTAAATGTTGTAGATTGACTCTTTACTTAAGAAATTGTCTATGTGTTTAACCCTTCATGACTGAGCTTGTTTTTAGTTTCTGTTCGTAAATGACTGACACACTTTTGACATTTTTGCTGTGTGATTCTTCCACGTCAGTAATATACTGACACATATTATATATTGTATTATATATAATACACCCACACATATTATATATTGTTTTTTAGAGGACAGATATGTGATATAAATATGTAGCCCTATGTGTGTCTAACGCCTCACTTAGGACAAATAAAAGAGAAAAAAAGAGAAAAAAAAAAAGTTAAAAAAACACTTTTTCCCAGTTTTGATTTGTAGTATTTTTTTTTACAACACCAGCTCAGCTAAAAAAATGCAATAAATACATTAATTTATTTGTCCCTTATTTTATTTTTTTTTTTTACACATTTTTTAGTCCCTTTGTGGCTGGACGTACAGTGTACGTCTCCCGTCACGAAGGGGTTAAAGAACTACAAATATTTAAAAAGTAGGGTATACACGGTGCAAATTTTGGCCAGCTTTTCACTAGCCAGCCCAAATTCGCAGTGTGTGCCGCTATCCGCATCCTTCTGCCCAGCATCTCTCGATCAGCTGATTGAAAGAGCAGGTTGGAAAATTGTTGGCCGAACAGAACTTGCAGCCAATCAGAATAGAATACAATAGAAAACAGCAGGGGATACCTCCATCCATGCTTGCAAGCGTTGTTGGAGGAAGCCATTCTTTTTTTTTTGCTCAGCCCGCAGGTCAAATGAAAAATAGAACTGTGTATACCCAGCTTAAGTTTGGGCAGCAAAGTCGTCTTAAAGACTTTGAATTTCCCCATTTCCTCTCAGTCTACAAAGAAAAACATTCAAAATAGGCACAACAAGTAAATTCCTGGATCAAGTGCCTTAAGAAGATATAGACCTAGTCCCAAGACTTGCTGATTCTAAAAGGGCTGGCACCTTGAATAATGTTTATGGATAAATTAACATTATTTATAATGTGGCCAAATGATATAAAGCCCTAGTATTATACAGCTACAAGGGGGAATGAATAAGTTTGTCTGCAAGGAAACAAAACAGATTTAAATAATTATTAATTACTGAAATGGGTCTGCAGTTGGTGGTAAAGTATTGTTTCTATCCAGGTTAGGAAAGAGTGATATGTTTATTTTCCAACATGCGGAAATTCAATACATTTTACCCATAAACAATATCCATTTCTCTTTTACAGTTACAAATTTTTAAAAAAAGCATGCTAGATTGCAACGGTGACAAAGATGGGAACGCTCATTCTCCAACATAATCAGTACATTTTTGTAAGTCCCAACTATGATGCAATTAATCTGATTGTTGATCAGGAGTGCTAAATGACCAGATGTTTCAGATCTGAACAAAGGGTAAAAAAAAGAAGCAGCCTATACCTTAGAAACATTGGATGCATCTGGATACTGTCTGGTATCAATAACATTTGGACCTAAAAAAAATAAAAAAAGACAAAAAATATTAACAGTTAAAAACTCTAATGGTGCTAGGAGCATTAAGATCATGCAACATCTGAATGAACCCGAAAAAGTATAATATGAGATCCTGTGAACCAGTGATGTATTAAAAAGCAATTTCTTGAAAAAACTGAACTCAAATCAGCTATTACTTTTTTGCTATCCAGGAATTTTTCCATCTGTGCTCCCTATTTACTTTAATCTGATTCATGGTAGTCGTATTTCTGACACCTCTTCATGGGGGATGAGTTTAGGTTCAGAATGTACCTGGTCCAAACATGAGCGCCATGGGCACTTCCACCTAATCAGCCGCAGTACAGGCATTCCCTGCAGCTGCATGTAAACAAAGGAGAGGGATTCTTGTGCCGATATCATTTACCAAATACAGGCATGCAGCCATATAAAAGGCAAATGTAATTTATCAAATATAGGTATACAGCCATATTAAGAAAACGTAATTCACCAAATATAGGCATGTAGCCTGTGTCCTTTTGCTTACTTTAAGCTCCAAGTGGGAATTCCCCACAAGCAGTAGATTGGGTGGCACAGAAGGAGTTTTCTTGTGTGTTTAGGAGGGTCTCCTTCCAGGTTTGGTCCAAACCTTAGCTCATCCCAACTCTTCCTATATGGGATGGGTCTGCTTTCTGAAGCCTGTGCTACGCAATTTCCTCCCGTCTCTGCTTAAGTAATCATCAGACTTATGCCTCCTTCCAGATCACCCAAAGGGAATGGGGTGGAGGTACACACTACAAATAGGTCTGGATGAATACAAATCCCAGAGCACATAACAGTATTACTTTCATTAATACGCCTAACAGCGTGCAGTGCAATTCTAAACAGCCCTGATATTTCCCTTTTGAAATAAAAAAAAAAGAAGGAGAAGGAGAAGAAGAAGAAGAAGAAGAAAGAGACTGAGTGTTCAATCAACTTTTTTCTGCAGCTCCAGCATTCAATGATCAGGAGGCACTCAGTACAGAGACGTCCTGTTCATTCACAAACTGAGGAGATAGTAAAATGTTGTAAATGTTGTTAACCATGTACCCAGTCATGAATGAACAGGAAGTGATATGCAGCACTTCCTGTTTATTGATAAAACACTTACTATCTCCATTATGATTAAACACTGGATTGACCTGTACTGATCACTCTGTACTGATTTAGAATGGACAGCTGCCATCAGCAGCTGCAGCAACAATAGCTGCTGATGACAGCTATTCATTTACACAGAGTCAGGGGGACTCTTCTGTTACAAACTTATGGTCACTGAAGATTTATTGACACTAATAGTTTACACAATAAACTTTGTGCTTTCATTTAAAACGGAGAACTATGAGGTGTGTGATTTCCACTCATTCTTATAGTTAAAGCTGACGTGTGACATTAAAACGGTCACACCTCGGCTCTTTAGATTGGGGAGTAAACACTTTGCGATCATCTCCCTGCAGAGAGCAGTGACAGTCAGTCACCGCTCCCCCACAGGGATCCCCCCTCCCCGATCCTCCAGCACTGTCTGGAGGAACGGAAGGAGGGGGCGGACACTGCTGGCTCTGGCTCTACATAGGCAGAGCCCGATGTCAATCAGCCAGTTGGGTGGATCTAACAGTATTGTCGGGATCCGTCCCGGCCATGGTGCTCTCAGTATATAGTGGGCAATAGCTCGCTATATACTGAGCTTTGGGTCACGAGAGGACGTTAGCATATGTCCTTCCGTGACCCTAAAGAGATTTATGGGATAAATATGTTACCCCATAGTTCTCTTTTAAGCTTACAGAAAGTGACAAACACTGTATGTAAGGCAGGATGAACATTTTTGTACATGTTGGAAATGTTCTTAGCCTGAAAACAGGCACAATAATGCAACCACCACATCTACGGACTGACATGCTGCAATATAAAAAAAAGTTTTGGTTTAGATACACTTTAATTTCGCACAATGTTCCCAACTACAGTAAACTCAAGTAGAGAGAGCACAGGTCCCGAGCAAGTACAAAAATAAAATAAAAACATATGTATCTATAGAAATTGTAATATAAAAGTGAACACATACCAGCAATCCCAATAAACAGTGTTAATCCGAAACAGATGAAGAATACCACAAAAACCAATACAAAGTAGCGTTTTGAGAGTGTATATAATCGCATTGGAGCCAACCTGCAAAACAAAAAGATGCATCACTGATTGACATGGCATATGTAAAAAAGTACCAATTTCAGTCACACGGTTCTATTATTTGCATTTTAAAAGGTTTTTGCTTTGATTGGCACATGTCAGCTAAGCAACCAGGCAAGTGAAAATGTGTATTTTTGGTTATACTTTTTATTTTACTATGAAAAAAGGGAGAAAACAAAAACAACAGGTATGGATGAAAAATGTATATACATGTTAAAGAATGTATCGCCTGACCTCTTTAACATGAAATATAAATACAACCCAATATGGTCAAGAAGCAGAAATCTCCAATGCCACCACCTGGCCTAAGCCAGTCAAAGTGCATCTCTGATGCTCTATACCTCTTGAATCATTCACATATTGCATAATCTGTACAGAGGGGGTAATAACCTTTATGAAAAAAAATGTTACCCTCTTAAAAGTTTTTTGGATTGAACGGCTCCTTAATTATGATCTGTCGATTTATTGAATGGCAGAAACACATGTGCATGTACATAGCATCTACACCAATACAGAGCTATGTTTGTCAACATCATGGGCAGCACAGTTTTTTTGGCGATTTGCACTTCAGTGTCTTGCAGCAACGAGGTCCTCGATCTGAATCCCAAATAGGATCTGCATGAAGTTTGCATGTCCTCTCGGTGCTTGCATGAGTTTTCTACAGCTACTCTGGTTTCCTTCCATACTCTAAAGCCTAGGTTCTCAACTGGTGGGTGGTGACCAAAAAGTAGGTCGCGACCCTGTGTTCAGTGGGTCGCCATGTGCCTTCCACTTTTCTAGGTGAGAGTCTTAGCCTCCTCCAAGCACAACAATGTCAGTTCTTACGCAGAGCAGCCATTCAGAATATGCTGCCTGGCGTCGAGTGTCAGCTTCAGGTGGGGTGGGACTATAGCCAAGAGGGAGCTCCATCCCTACTTGCATTGGTTACAGCTCCCTCATGTGCCCTGGAGAGGTGCCTGGACCGGAGTAACATCACATTCTGGCTCCCGACACCTCAACAGGGCACGCAAGGGAGTTGTACATGCAATGCATGGAGCTCCGTCACTGCACAGCAGCCCAGCACTGGACCCCCGGCTGAGGATGCACTCCAGTTCTCATAATGGCACCCCAAACACACCACCCTCCCACAGTTCAATCTCCCACACTGTACCTCAATGTTGTGTGCGTTCCATTGCAACTTGGGTCACCACTTAATGATCAAGGACAGATGTGGGTCCTGAGGTTACACAGGTTGAGAACCACTGCTCCAAAGCATACTGGTAGGTTCACGTCTAAATTGGCACTAGTGTGTGTATAGGACTGTGTGATGGAGAGACCTTAGCGTATAAGCTCCTTGAGAACAGGGACTGCTGTAATTCTACACTATGTACATTTTTGTCGCTATATCAATGCCTGTAGTAGAGAAGCAATACAAATCAGCTTAATGCCTTCTACAAGAAAAATGACATGGACATATCAAAAAAAATATTTTTTGTTGGTTAATGAATCTGACATTTCCTGTTAGTTGGGTTTGGTAGAATTAGAAATAGCCAGCAGCAGGAGGATATCAAGATTTGCATACTTAAAGAAGTCCACCTACGTTTTTCAGTATGTCATAACTGTCATATATAAACAAACATTCTAGTCAGGTAACTGGAAATTTCCAAAATATCTGGTTTAGCTGGCTTTTCTTTTTTTTTCATGCCATTAATAATAGTATAGGAACACCATAGAACTCTAAAGCTTTCCGTATAATATATACAGTAAACATATGCCATCTCATTAGGTGGTCCAGCAAGAGTAAAAAAATAAAAAATGTACATTGTGAAGAGAAAAACTCAATTCTCCAGCACTTTAAAGACCATGAAACAATTATACAATGGCATGTATAGGTGCATACAAGATAAAGAACGTTGTTGGCACATGGGACATTAACATGCAAGATAAACAAAAGACATTACTTGCACTGATATCACCTTACCATTGACGGCCTTTTTCCATCTGGGGACACTGATGTAATGAAGCTTCCATCCTCGATATCCGATTGTTCAATGGGTATAGCTCTAACCTAGCTAGCTAGCTAGATATATATATATATATATATATATAATGATAAGTTACCTAAACATCACTGTGATTATAGCATTTATATTGTAGAGGGCAATAACTCATATCATTCATTTTTGTAGATATCCGATTGTTCAATGGGTATAGCTCTAACCTAGCTAGCTAGCTAGAGATATATATATATATATATATATAATGATACACTCTTTCATAAAACTCTGCAGCCCAGGGACCTGATCTAATATTTTCTGTGCGAGATGGAAATTTACATGTAATTGCTATAGCAAGTGAATGTCACTGCAACTGGTGGATAGAACAGAGCACCACCAGAGAATGTGTGCACTACATACAAAGGCTCAATTGCAGACAGATCATTTTATTTACAAGGACCAGAATTTTATGTTTATGAAAACATCACGGATGAAAGTACAATACCAAATCAGGTTGCAAAGTTCAAGAGCCAGGTGTCATATGTGCACAATAAGCAATATGATATCTCTCTTAGATAACAAATTGAAAGCACAGATTGGATGCTCAGTGATTTTCTCCTTTGGCAAATAGTAAATGTTTAATTAAGTAAATACTTTGTACTTTAATTAAAGCCAAACGGTAATTGCTGTCACAACTCCCTCTTGTGGCTATAGTGCATAACCCAATGTTCCTGCCAGGTTTTGAGGAAGCATCAAAATTTCCACCCATCGACTAATGCGGGTCTCTGTAGGGTCTATGACTTTCTCTCTTCCTCAGGATTCAGAACTCTTATAAGTTACCCTTGTCTGAAATCGTTTGATATCTCCAAATTAAAGCTTTGTCTCCTCTGTCCCATCTACTGCATCCCTGCTCTTAGGATTAACCACTTTCAAACATTATTGTCTGTAGGACCCGCTCAGTAAGGGAGTTCTTTCCTCTATAAAACTTTACTAGGGAGTCAACAGTCATCCCCATTGCCGTATGTATTAAATTGGGAACGGGACCTCAATAGACCGACGATTAGGATTGGCCTCAAATTTGGGACACTATTGCCCATTGCTCGATTAACTCCTGAGCCATTGAAGCCAATCATAAGGTGTTAATGGGTTGATATACGGTTCCCCAGCAGATAACCAAATTTACCCGGGGATGTGCTGAACCTGGTTCGCTCCTCCATACTCTGTGGAGCTGCCCTAAAATTAGATTTTGGATAGGCGTTTAGCAGTTGGGGTACACTATTCTAGGGAGGAGCCTAAGGCAATATCCCTGGGAAGCTTTGCAAAATCATAAACCTGAGGGTTGAATTTGCATCCTAATTTAAACTTCTCACTTTTATATTCTCCAATGCAAAGCAGACCCTAGCGAAGGCTTTGAAGTCAGCTACTCCGACCGACAGTGCAGAAAGTTAAGTGGAAGGTCTCCTGCTAGCTTTTGGCAATATTGCATGGTACCATGTTGAAGTTCCATAACGTGTGCAGACCACAGATTCCTAATTACATGTCTAAACTTCCTGTTTAAGGCTCTGGTAATTTCCATTTTCGGTAGTCATGACAGTCTTGGAATTTCTCACCCTTTTTTTTCTTCTATACCCCCC